TAACATTTTTTTTCTTGTGATAGGAACTTTGAAAATCTAGCTCTCAGAAATTTTCAAATATAAGATACAGTGTTGGTAATTATAACCATGCTGTATATTACATTCCCAGAACTTAACTATGCTTGTAACTAGAAGTTTCTACCTTTAGATTGCGTTCACCCATTTCCCATCCCCACTCCTTACTTCAGGCAACCACCAGTCTCTTCTCTGTTTTTATGAATTTGTTTGTAGATCTCATCACCTTTTTGTAGATCTCACATTTGTTTGTAGATCTTCACAAAGCGAAGTCATACACACTTTGTGTTTCTCTGACTTATTTCACGTAGCATAATAAAGCCCTCAGTGTTCATCCATGTTGTTGGAAATGGATGTTCTTCTTTATGGATGAATAATGTTCCATTGTGTATGTGTGGATATGTGCACATGCTACCGTAGTTTTGTTCATCTACTTACTGTTGGACAAACTGAAGTGGTTTCTGTGTCTTGGCTTTGGTGAATAATGCACTGACAATGAGGATGCAGACATCTGAGATTGTGATTTCCTTTCTTTTGGATATATATACTCGGAAGTGGAATTGCTGGATCATATGCGTGTTGTATTTTTAACTTTTGGTAGAACCTCCATATTGTTTTTTGGTAGTGGCTGCGCCAGTGTACATCACCACCAACAGTGGCCAGCTGCTCCCTCTCTTTTCTCTACATCCTTACCAACACTTGTTATCTTTTGTCTTTTTGATGATCGCCTTCATACATGTGTGAAGTGATATCTCATTGTGGTTCTGATTTACATTTCCTTGATGACTGGTAATGTTGAACCCTTTTTTCATGTACCTGTTGGCCATTTGTATGTCTTCTTTGGAGATGTCTATTTTGATTCTTTGGCCATTTTTAAATTGGATTATTTGTTTGTTTGTTTTCGCTATTGAGTTCCTTATATATTTTGAACATAAAGTCCTTATTGGATATTAGGAATTTCTTATTATGGAATAATAATCAAATATTTGAATCACTTATTATATTATGAATTAGATGTGTGGTTTGAAAATATTTTCTCCCAATCTGTAGGTTGCCTTTTCATTTTGTTGATCACTTCTTTTGCTGTGAAGAAGCTTTTTAGTTTGATGTAGTCCTATTTGCTTACTTTTTATTTTGTTGCTGTTCTTTAAGGTGTCACATCTGAAAAATCATTGCCAAGACCCATGTCAAGGAAGTTTCTTCCTGTGTTTCCTTCTAGAACTTTTATGGTTTTTGGTCTTACACTTAAATCTTTAAACCATTTCAAATTAATTCTTGTGAGTGGCATAGGACAGTGATCTAGTTTCATTCTTTTGCAAGAGAACTTCCAGTTCTCCCGGCAGCATTTATTGAATAGACCAATCTTTTCCCACTGAACACTCTTGGCTCCTTTGTCAAATATTACTTGAGTGTATACGCACAGGTTTGTTTCTGGGCTCTTCTCTTCCACTTGTCTATTTGCTTTTAAGTCAGTACCATACTGTTTTGATCACCGTAGCTTTGTAATATTGTGTGAAATCAGGAAATGTGATGCTTCCTGTGTTCCCATTTCTCAGTACTGTTTTGGCTATTATTAAGAGTATTTTGTAGTTCCAGACAAATTGTAAGATTATTTTCTCTATTTCTGTAAAAAAAAAAATGCCATTGGAATCTTGATAGGGATTGCATTGAGTCTATAGATATCTTTTAGTAGTATGGACGTTTTAACAGTATTAAATCTCCCAATCCCTGAGCATGGACTGTTTCTCCAATTATTTGTATCTTCTTTAGTTTCTTTCATCATCGCCTTATTATTTTCAGTGTAGAGGTTTTTATGTCCGTGGTTAAAACTGTTCTTATGTATTTTACTGTTTTTGGTGTTATTGTAAGTGACTTTATTTTCTGTGTTTCTTTTTCCGATAAATTGTTAGTGTATAGAAATACTACTGGTTTTTCAGGTTTTTTTGTTTGTTTGTTTCTGTATGTTGATTTGGTATCTTCTACCTTTGCTGAATTCATTGATTAGATCTAACAGGTTTTTGGCGGAGTTTTTAGGATTTCTTATGGATAAGATCTTGTCATCTGTAATGACGCTTAGGTGGCTCAATCTGTTAAATATCTGCCTTGGGCTCGGGTCATGATCCCAGAGTCCTGCTTCTCCTTCTCCCCCCACTGCTTGTGCTCCCTCTCTCTCTCTCGCTGTCTTTTTTTCCTCTCTCAAATAAATAAAATCTTTTAAAAAAAAATCATGTCATCTGCAAACATTATTTTACTTCTTCTCTGATTAAGATGCCTTTTATTTATTTTTCTTATCTAATTCCTCTGGCCAGGACTTACATGCGTGCGATTGAATAGAAATGGGAAGCGTGGATGCCTTTGTCCTGTTTTTGATCTTGGAGAAAAAGCTTTGACCCTTACACCATTGAGTCTGATGTTAGCTGAGGGTTTGTCATGTATGGTTTTTATTGTCTCATGGTACAGTATTCTGCACCCAGTTGGTTGAGTGTTCTTATTATGACTGGACATTGAATTTTGTCAGTTTTTCTGTATCTGTTGAGATGAACATGTGATTTTTGTCCTCAATTCTATTAATGTGTTGTGTCACACTTCTTCATCTGTGTGTGTTGAATCACCCTTTTTTCTGAGGGATGAATTCCACTTGACCGTGGTATATGATTCTTCCTGTAGTATGCTTTTGAATTTCGTTTACTAGTATTCTCTTGCAATTTTTGCATCTGTATTCATGAGGAATATTTACATGTAGTTCTCTTGTCTTACAATGTCCTTATCTGGCTTTGCTATCAGGATAATAATAGCCTTATAAAATGAGTTTGAGAGCATTCCCTCCTCTTCTGCTTTTTGGAAGAGTTTGAAAAGGATTGGTATTCATTCTTTTTAAAATGTTTGACAAAAATCATCAGTAAAACTCTATCCAGTCCTGTGCTTTTCCACAGTGGGATATGGTTCAGTCTCTTCACTCGTTATTGATCTATTCATGTTTTCGATTTCTTCATGACTTAATCTTTGTAGGTTGTATGTTTTTAGGAATTCGTGCATTTCTTCTAGATTTCTTCTACATTACCTACTGTGAACAGCTCTGTAGCTTATGTCTCCTTGTATTTCTGTGGTGTCAGGTGATGATCAGACATTCTGAAGTAGATTCTTCATCTGTAAGATGGGGATAGTAACACTGAACTCTAGAACGATGAATGAGATAATGGGTATAAAACATCCAGAATAGTGTCTGATACTCAGTCAAAACTAAACAAAAGTGTGTTATCCTCTCAGAGAGAGGCCCGCAACAGTTTTCTCTTTTCCCTTCTTATAAAACAGATGGAAATTGAGAAGAGAAGACCTTTAACAACTGGGAGACTAGAATTTGTGCTCCTAAGAGAGAGACCACAATCTGTGTTTTATCTTAAAAAAAAAAATGTACACAGGGGCACCTGGGTGGCTCAGTGGGTTAAAGCCTCTGCCTTCAGCTCGGGTCATGGTCCCGGGGTCCTGGGATCGAGTCCCTCGTGGGGCTCTCTGCTCAGCAGGGAGCCTGCTTCCCTTCCTCTCTCTCTGCCTGCCTCTCTGCCTACCTCTCTGCCTACTTGTGATCTCTGTCTGTCAAATAAATAATAAAGAAAATCTTTAAAAAAAAATGTACACAGCTTAGGAAGAAAAGAATGGTAGTTTTTTAAGGTTATGTGGTTGGATAAACAGTAAAAATCATTTGAAAATATATGTGTTACTTAAGAGTGCCATGCAAAAATTATCAGAAATGAAGCATTGCATAGCGCCTGGATGGCTCAGTTGGTTAAGTGTCTGCCTTCAGCTCAGGTCATGATCTAAGGGTCCTGGGATCGAGCCCCACATCAGGCTCCCTGCTCAGTGGGGAGTTTGCTCCCTCTACTCTCTTCCTGCTCATACTGTCTTTCTCTCTCACTCACTCTCTCCCTCAAATGAGTAAATAAAATCTTAAAAAAAAAAAGAAATTAAGCATTGCATATTTGGCCGCTGAGTACAGTGATTCGTATGTATCTCATAGTCACTTATTAACAAAATTACACATTGGTCAGGTTCAGTTATTAAAAGTTCATTTTTTTCTCATTTTGAAATTTTAAAACATTTATATTATAATGGTGTTTTAAAACCTTGCTGTTCATTTTAGCAGTTGAACCAATGAAGAGTTACTTCCTTGTTGTTTTTGTTCAATGTTGTTGAGCCTTTTTGGCATAGGACTGTTCTATTATGTTGTAACTTTTTTTTTTATGTTAACAAAATCTATTTAAATTATATTTAAAAATTATGAGAGTAGAGCCAATATTTTAGTTTTTCAAAGATAATTCTTTATTATATCTACAGACAATTGGGAAATCTGTTTTTTTATTTTTCAAAACTAATGTCATTTTCCTTGTTTACTTTCTCTAATGTAATCCTATAGAGTATTCATTGGATTTGTTTTAATGTATTTTTTCTGACTTCAGGAGTGAAAAGTGTTATCTGAAAATTTCTCAGGGTGTATTTTTTTGTGAGAATGCTATGTTGCCTATTTATTCTTATATCATTAGTTGAAAGTTGAATGAATATGCTTTATTATTTCTAAGCAATACAGTATACATAAGCAATACTAAATTTCTACTTTTATAGTGACCAAGCAATGTCAGTGGCTTAGAAAAAAATGTGGATCTTGAATTTGTTTTGATTACTTAATCACTGTAAGCATTTATAAACTTTGTTCCTCATCGATATGTTCATTTGGAGATAATACTGTGTGATTTGTGCAATTATTTTTGAATAGTTGAAGCTTTAAAAGAATTGCACGTTGTAAATTTCTGTGCCTAGTGGAAATAAAGTAAGTATGAAGTATGATGGATACTGGTTTTTCAGTGTTTCTCATTTCAAGTGGCACATGTTATAAATTAACATCTTGGTGTATGTTTTAGGTCTTTTCCCATGTTAAGTGCGTACTATCTTTTTTAAAAATTTGAGCCTCATTTATTGCCTCATTTGAACAGGTGCCTCAATGCTTGTACTTACTGCAAAACTAAACACGCCAGAGGAAATTTGGCCAGTTACCCAATAGAAGAACTAGTAGAAAGAGCCAAACAGTCTTTTCAAGGTAAGATTTTCTAGAATTATGTGCGATTTTAGCCTTCTTAATAAATTATAATATTCTTTTTTTTTTTTTTTTTTAATTTTATTTATTTGTCAGAGAGAGAGAGAGCGAGCACAGGCAGACAGAGTGGCAGGCAGAGGCAGAGGGAGAAGCAGGCTCCCCACAGAACAAGGAGCCCGATGTGGGACTCGATCCCAGGACGCTGGGATCATGACCTGAGCCGAAGGCAGCTGCTTAACCAACTGAGCCACCCAGGCGTCCCTTATAATATTCTTCTAAATAACCCTTCACTTTAAATACATGATGCTGCTTTAGCTTTCTGGAGAGTTTATAAATATTTTAGCCTATGTAGCAGAAATGTTACCAGATTCAACCAACCAGGTTCTAGTGTTCATATTACTCTTCTTTTACTACTTTTCCATCTTCCATTTTTTTTTTTAAAGATTTTATTTATTTATTTGACAGAGATCACAAGCAGGCAGAGAGGCAGGCAGAGGCGGGGGCGGGGGGGAAGCAGGTCCCCCGCAGAGCAGAGAGCCCGATGTGGGGCTCGATCCCAGGACCCTGGAATCACGACCTGAGCTGAAGGCAGAGGCTTAACCCACTGAGCCACCCAGGCGCCCCTCCATCTTGCATTTTCTTATGATGTATTTTGAACTTTATCACCCACTGTCACTTCATAGAAAAGACAAAAAATAAAAAATAAAAATGAAATCCATGACCATCTAATGTGCATGAAGACTTTTGTGGACTGAGTGAACTACTTTTCAAGATTTCCAATTCTTTCTTTGGTCATTTTTGGACATTTGGAATGTAGAGTGAATAAGTATTTCCAGGAGCCTTGAAAAAGGTAGATTTTACTATCGGTCAATAAAGATCACCCTCAAAAAAAAAAAAAAAGAAAAAAGATCACCCTCTTTATCTGCAGAACTGTGGACCAGCAAAGAGTGGTACAAGTAAAGAGACCTAATGAGAATAACTCTTTGTGTAGGTGGCCAGTTGCTTCCAAATCATCACTTGCTGGAAAATGTGATTGTTTAGGTATCTCTCAGCGTATAATGAGTCTTATCTTTAATGTGAGTCACAGTTGTGTTGACACTAACTGCTTAAACCATAGACTTTCTCTTTTGTCTTTGTTTATAATATGTGTGTATAACATTGGTGTGTTTTTACACCCAACATGATATAATCTATTGTCTCATAATCTTGCGGGTTAATAGTTATTGGCAATGTACTTGTCCTTTTAGCGAGTAACTTGGAGTACTACTTTTAGTACTTCACACCCTAGAAGTGATAGTATGTGTTCCGAACATGTTTCTTTATTTAATCTGTGAAAGCCTTTATCAACATGAATTTGGAATGCTCTTCATAATAGAGAGAAAAGTACCTTGATTGATTTATGAACACCTCCCAACAAATTTGTTCTATTTTTACAACCTGAGTTCAGTCCCTTCCTTCATTCACATCCAGCTTATATTGAACAAGAAACAAGAGGCAGCTCATTGACTCCTGCCAGCATTCTGTTTTAGAGCCAGGTAATTATCTAATATGAAGAACAGTCTGAGTGATTGTCTTTTGTACAACATGACTACATTAAGGCGTGTTCAGAAAGGGCATACATTTGCACAGAAACCTCATCTATTTGAAAAATGATGCCTTTCCTGGCATTCTAAATTGGTGTTTATTTTTCCATGTATCTGTCAGAAAATGGGGATATTAAAACTCCATGATCTATCCACCAAACACTGCAAATTGGTAGGAGTATGAATTAGTTCTTTCCAAGTACTTTTCCAACATTATGCATTTCTCTTCGCAGCTAAATGTAAGTCTTAAAACATCTTCTCACTTGACTCTGAAAATTTATTTTAAAGATCTACAACTGACAAATCACCATCTAGGAAGTGAAGGTATTCTCTTTGCTCCCTTATATCTATCTTCACCTATAACCTCTCCTAACATTTTGATGTGATTGTTTCACGACTTAGTATGGACACATTGATTGATTGATTTTTATTTAGATTCAGTTAATTAACATATAGTGTATTATTAGTTCCAGAGGTGGAGTTCAGTGATTCATCCGTCTTGTATAATACCCAGTGCTCATTACATCACGTGCCCTCCTTAATTGGACACATTTATGTATTACGCTTGACTTGAGGTGAAAACCAGAAAGGAATAATCAGTTTTTATAAACTAATTGTAGATTTTTTTCCTAAAGATATCCAACTTAGTTCTCTGATTTATGTTACTTATCTTTAGAAATGCCCTCTGAGCAGTGGAAGTACAGGGTGTGACTTCGTTCAGACTTTATTGTCACTTAGCATCGTCATAGCCAAAGTGGGTGGGTTGGGCCAGTTAAGGTGAATGTTACAAAGACTGTATCCGACGTCAGCAGCGATGTAGCGTTTGTTTACTCACAGAGAAAGCACTCGAAGAGATCCAGTTAGTATTGCTTTCATCATCATGAGCATGTGTTTGGGTATGTGTGTGTGGGTCTGTTGCCTTTTTATTCCCGGCCCTGGAATGTTGGCTGTGTAACTTCCATTGTCTTGGTATCTGTGTGTTAGAGTTGAAACTAGTTGCTACTTTTGGACTGGTGAGCGCTTTCGATTCATGTATGGTACTGTTACTAAAATATTGAGGTCATAACTTCCTAGGCAAGGCAGGATGGTTAGGAGAACTTTAAGTAGTTAGGTATTCAATGCTCTTTGCCATAGGAGAGTTTGAATATGAAAAGTGTTCTGCTGCTGACCAGCCACGCCACTCTGAAGAAGGTACTTGCCCCCTCCAGGCCATGGTTTCCTTGTTACTGTGACGTTTCATATTCTTTGTTGTTAGAATTTGAGATAACTTACAGGAAGTAATTGGCTGTGTTCTTCTTATGAAGAAGACATGCTACTGAAACTGCTTAAACTGAAGGAATTTAAGTGAATCCAAGAAGTCTAATTTTGAGGGAAAATATTGAAAATCTGTAACAGGCATTAACGAATAGAGTCAAATGACAACTTTTCTTTTGATGCTAAAACATATTTTAGGACTCTGTAGATAGAAACTATTTAGTGTGACCATTACCTTTCATTCTCTTAATTTGAGAAAAGCAAACTTGTGCTGAAAATGGCCGTATACTCTTTTTCCACTATAGGGAGGTGCCTGTTGATAGCTTACATTTTAAAGGGATTGAGTTCATTTTCTTTTTTTCTACAAAAGACATTGGGATGTTACTGATCTTACAGATTTTCTATATGTGAACTTTTAAAATTGTGAAGAATAATTATGAAGGTAAATAGAAGAAATTCTCTCTTATCTCTGTGATTTTTGCATATTTAATTCTAAATAATTCAGGTGTTAGGAATATCCTTTGAGCTAGAACCCCTTAAATTCTGCGCGATACCATTATTATTAAATGGCCCTATAATTAATAATAAACAATGTGGTTCTTTGAAAGGCTGCTTTAAGATGAAGACCCTTTTAAATATGTTGCCAATAAATTTGATGAGAGCTACTCTGTCTGTGGAAGTTAATTTCCCATCCTGGAAGGTCATTTCCTTTCTTTTTCTTAAAGTTTTTGATGACTTTGTGTCAGGAATACCAAATGACTTTCAAAAACTCTTTACCAGTTGTAGAATGGGGATAGAACCCAGATTGCCTGGCCTATGATAGAATAAGAGCACAATTTCTTTCTGAATAGCATATTTATGAAACATTTTATATTCATATAAATTTATTTCATGGTGGTCTAATGAGTGGAGAGGCTAAGGGCTGACCAAAAGGGAAGGGAGCATTCAGAAGAGATTCTGAAATAATCGTGGAATCATTCTGAATGTACAGTGGATTCCCAAAGCACCAAAAATATACTGACTATACATTCAGCTGCCAGAAACTGAGAGAGCTCATTAAATTTTGAATGGATAGCATTAAAATAAAAATTATTTATATTTTTAAATAGAAATTTTAATTTGCCTTTTACAAAAAATACATGCATATATAATATGTATAATATTAATACATTAATATGTACAATACATTAATACATATGTAATATGTATGTATTTAGTTTATAGTTAGTTGATTTCCTTGCCTTCCCCCCACCTTTTTCTCTCAACCCAGTCCCCTTGACATTTTCACTTTCTCAATGTGTTTATCATTTTTGTGGCCAGTCCTGAATGTGAGTATAAGATTTATCACGTAACTTGAGTTTCTCCTCTCATTGTTCTAACAGCCTGTGGGGAAACCTTCCCCCTCACCTCCTCACCTCTGCTGAGATTCAGGTTTTAAAAATTCCTGGGCATCGTGGTGTTCGGGGACCGGGGTTTGACATGGTTGCATTTTAGATATCTAGAAAAACATGTCAGGCTGTGACCAGGACTTTGTTGGGGCCAGAATGAATTTACAAGCTAGTGTTTTCTAGGATATTTGTATTGATTTTTCTCTAGCAGCTAATCAATCAGTTTCAGTTGTATAAGTGATGGAGCAAACCTTTCTAAGTGTGCTGGGTGAGTGGTGTGGAAACAGCACCTTTCACTGCTGCCTCTGGAATCAAAATGTAGAGATGATGGATGAGCTATTTTTATAGCGATTGTGTGCTTTTCTAGATCTCATTTGTGTGTTGCTACTTTTTTCTCCCTCATGAATCTGAAAACCCTTGCAGGGTAAGTGGCATAAACCGGTTATGGGAAGGTAAATAAATTAAGGTGAAATAATCAGAGCAGGGAGAGAGTTTCTTGGTGTTTAGTGATTTTAGTATTAATGTTGAAATTTAAAAAAATGAATTCTGTTTTATTTGAGACTTGCAAAGTTGCTGTTTTTTGTGTGTAAGATTAATTATGAAATGCATCTAGAAGACATTGCCTCCTGACCTTTTATGTAGGGAAGGACATGAGCAGTATTTGATTTTCGGATGTATGAACTTGGATCGTCGAGTTTTATAGTTTTTATCAAGCCACGTTTGACTCATCACTGTTAGCAGTGATTGCTGTATATTGATTCTGATCTGAGATCGGAAA